ATGGGTATGAGTGACAGAGATAATGGTGTATTTCTTCCCATTCTTTTTGGTTGTTTAGTGTTAGAGATGTTATGCTGGATGAACCATGGAGTATAATTCAATGTTGCAAAGCAGTCTTACATTTAAAAATTTAACAACAAAAAAACACATTTCAGGTTCTTTTTTATGGGTGACCAAACAGAACTGTGTGATTATCTCTGACACTCACTACGAAAGCCCCCTTTACCCATATGAATAGGATCTAGGCAGGCAGATCTACACCTTAAGTGTTCCAGAACATTTAAGCCTCATAAATGCTATCTTGAAAAAAGTAGGCTCTAGATACAGTTGATGTTCATTATTTGTGGATTCCATATTTAAGAACTTGCCTACTTTCTAAAATTTATTTGTAACCCAACAATAAGTATGGAGTGTTCTCAGTCATTTATGAGCATGTATATCCAAAGCAGGGTTTTTCTTTTTTTAAATTTCAATAGTTTTGGGAGTGCAGGTGGTGTTTGGTTACATGGATAAGTTCTTTAGTGGTGATTTCTAAGATTTTGGTGCATCTGTCACCTGAGTAGTGTACAGTGTACCCAATATGAAGTCTTTTATCACTCACCCCACTCCCATCCTTCCCTAAAGTCCACTGTATCATTCTTATGCCTTTGCATCCTCATAGCTTACCACTTACTTAGAAGTGAGAACACATGATATTTGGTTTTCCATTCCTAAGTTACTTCACTTAGAATAATGGCCTCCAGCTCCATTCCAGATGCTGCAAAGGCCATTAATTCATTCTGTTTTATGTCAGAGTAGTAGTCCATGGTGCATTCATACCACATCTTCTTTATCCACTTGTTGGCTGATGTGCAGTTAGCCATTATTTTTGCAGTTTCAATTTGTACTGCTACAGACATGCATGTGCATGTGTCTTTTTCATATAATGACTTATTTTCCCTGGATAGGTATCCAGTAGTGGGATTGCTGGACCAAATGGTAGTTCTACTTCTAGTTCTTTAAGGAATCTCCATACTGTTTTCCATAGTGATTGTACTAGTTTATACTCCCAACCAGCAGTGTAAAAGTGTTCCCTCTCACCACATCCATGCCAACATCTATTTTTTTTTTATTTTTAAATTATGGACTTTTTTTTTTGCAGTAGTGAGGTGGTTCAATTGTGGTTTTAATTTGCATTTCCCCAAAGCAGGGAAAATTTTGAGTCACCTGATGCACATATTCTCAGCTGAGGTTGAACAAGGTGACACTTTGCCTTCTTGCTTCAGCTCTTTTATTGTTTAAAAAAAAAAAAAGTGTCCTTTTTGTGGTCTGTTTAGTGCCACATTTTTCATATTTTTGTGCCTTTTGTTCATGATTTTGCTGTTTAAAATGGCCCCTAAGCATAGTGTTGAGTGCTGTCTAGTGTTCCTAACTGCAAGAAGGCTGTGATGTGCCTTACAGACAAAATACATGTGTCACACAAGCTTCATTCAGGCATCAGTTATAGTACTTTTGTCTGGCTGGTCATGAGTTAAGCATTCATAAATCAACAATATATATTAAACAAAGGATCTTTCAACAGAAAAACGTAAAACAAGGCCATGCTCTGATCAGTGGACAAGAATGTTGTGATAAGAAGCTTGCAGGAACCTAACCTTGTATTTCCCCTAGGAGCAATAGTTCAGTATTTGCTAATTCAGTGTTCACGACTTTATAAAACGTAACTACCATGAATGATGAGAATAAACTGTATATTATTATAAAAATCTGCACAGAGGTAAAGACATCACCAGGGCCACCTTCCTGCCTTGCTGAACCAATCTCCATAAGAAGACAACTTATCATGGCTTAGACAGAAAAACGCTTAGGTTTGAATCTCAGGTCTCCCACTTACTAACCACGTGACCTTCAAGACATTAAACCCTTAGAGTCTTATTTTCTTAGATGTAAAATGGGTAAAATACCATTTAAAATCCAGACTGTCTCATCAGATCACTCACAGAATCACACACATATTGTACATGCAAGAATGTTTTATACTTTTAAATTCTATGTAAATATAAAGTACATTATTTCTTTATAATTCTAAACATAAAATTAGGTTGTTTGCAGGAAAATGTATGTAGCACAATAAAGATCTCATGGTTAAAAACTAATGGACTTTCTATATTCCAGACTTCACTGTGAAAAAAAAAAAAAGGCCAAGTATGCAGAGACAAAATGAAAATGAAGCTGATGTTAAATTATGGAGTTACAAAAGACAAATACAAATGGATTAATTTACTGAACAAATCTGAGAAGAAGTGAATAATTATGATTATGATACCCCTTTCTGTGATCTTCTCCTGTGACTCCCCTGACTTAGTCCAGCTGCATTCACTAAGTACTAGACTAGCCAAAGATATTGTTGTCTGAATTCTAAGTGATCTCCAGGCAAACCCAAATGTATCTAAAACTGGAACAGACAGGAAAGCTGCGAAGTTAACCTCTACCTCCATCCTTCCCTCATCTGTTTGACATACCATGGAGAGAGCTCTTATGACCCAAACTTCAGCCTCCTGGGAATTCTGCCTACAGGCCTGATGACAGGTAGAGTCCCTCATTCCAGTATGCCTCTAAATGCACTTTCAGAAAAACTTTTTGGTTTTGGGAAACAAAAAGTTACTAAGAGTTTAAGAGAATTCCACATTTTTTTTCCTTCATTGGCTGAACAACAGTTAATGAGTAAAGCTGTGAAAGACTACTGTGAGAGCCTTTCCTATGCCCTGTATTTCTAACTTGTAGATGAGCATCCACAAGATCTCCAAAAAGCATCAGATGAAAACAGTAAGGCTTATGGGCCAACCACCTCTACTGCCAGATCAAGTTACATTAAAGCTTCAAACATAATCAGGAATGCCAATCAATATTTAGCTTTATCTAATCAGGATCTTCCCTTCTGAGGAAGTAAAAGAAAACCAAGATACTGTTAGGCCAAATAGAGATCTATGTGCATTGCCTTCTGCTTCACAGTCTTCTTCAGAGCTTTGTAAATAGTTTGAAAAGATATTTAAATGCATAAAACATATCTGTTGTTTTAATAATGAAATGGCAGGTGGGGTGGGGCCAAGAAAAAAAACACAGCTAGGGACTTTGAGCTTGTTAATTTACCTTCTGTACTGATACAGGACAGGCCCACCTAAAAAGAGTGACATGTGTCCCATTGTTAACAAAGGTTTTAATTCTTAGGCCCTGTACTAGGTATGCTCATAATGAATAGTGACTTTTTACCTTACTTAGGCCATCCCCACATTCTGCAAGTGATGCTGGAGAACAACTGTTCTATAATATCCTTAGAGTCAGAACTGAACTAAGATTTGGACTTTCCCCAAGAGCAATCTTCTCCTTCCTTTTCAGTCAGCTGAACAAGGGAAAAACCTCTGGATGGAAAGGAAAAGCCCCTATGATCAGAAACCCATTTTCTAAAACTAACATTCCACATGTCATCATCATTTGTGGGGGCAATGTAAAAAATAATCCTTGGAAGTCTTGTCTCTAAACCTCCATTCTCACTGTATATTATTCTTCCCTTGTCATACCACACCTACACGAGGCATCACAACAGCCACCTAACTTGGTTCTGCTGTGTCCTCCCCTTGCTACTCAATGCAGAGGACGAGCAGCTGGTTAGACATGCAGAGTCTCAGGCCCCATCCCAGACCTATTCAGTCAAAAACTGCACTTGAAGAAGACCCTCGATGATTTATGCATACATTAAATTTGGGAAGCACTGTTCCCAGCCATCCACACTATTGGCCAAACCACTCCCTTTTTTAGTAAATCAATACTGCTCAGCCTGGCTAGGAAGGCCCAAAAAAGACACTTCAAAGTCCTCAGCATTACTTTCCACTCCTGTTACTATGCACTCTCCATGAAAAGCAGACTGCCTTCTGGAGAACACAGGTAGAGCACCCGGCACAGTGCTAAGTAGCATCTAGTATCGACTCAGTAAATGTGTACTTCCTTTCCTTATGTCTGTTCACCATGCCCTATCTCTTTCAGTCCATCCCTTTCCTATAAGGATATCTCTTCCTCCTAGGCTCTATTTTGAATTCTCTAGTGAAGCGGTTACAAGCCTAGGTTCTAACGTCAAAGTTTTAGCTCTAAAACTTATTTACTCTGTGAATTAGGAAGACTAATTTTACTTTACCAGACCTCTTTCCACTTTTGTAAACTGAAGATGTTTATAACAGTGCCTTTCTCTTGGGGTTGCTGTGAAAGCACTCAAATGATATTAGCTATCACTAGTATTCAAGCACAGATCAACATCTCTTCACTGACCGCTTTAGTTGCTTTAGTCTTGGATACTTTTCCTCTCATTTAAACAGCTACAGCACTCACAGGTGAAGCACATAACTTAGCACCCAATTATAACATTCCTAAAGGGGCCTTTAAGTTTTTTGTTTTGTTGGTTCTGTCATTTAACGTGAATCTTAATAATAAAAAGGTTTAGGATTACTGTTGTTTTTAGATTATGAAAGTAATTCATGGCCATTCGAGAAATATAGAAAGTAGAGAAAAATATAAAAAAGAAACTGAAAATCAGGCATAATCTCACCAGAGACAACTATTAACATTTAAGAGTATTTCCTTCCAATGAGTAGATCTTAAGTTTCAGGAGGGCAAGGAGCAAGCCTTAACCTTGTTGGAATTTTCCTTGACTTCCCTCCATCCAATAATGCCCCCTTCATACCTACACCAGTACCTCATCTAGCACAATGCTGACCACTTACCAGCTGACAAATACATACCTGTTCCTTAGATGAATGAAGTGGCATGCCCCTATACTTATATGTGGACTATCTATAGAAAAAGGGACGCTGTCAGAGTCAGTGACATAATTTGGTTGGTTCTTCACTCAGTTCTAACTGCTGTAAGAGTGCTCATATCTGTATTCTATGTGACTACTGTTTGTGTTTGGTACCCAAAGTGCATTTCTGGCGGTCTCATTTTCCTTTTCAACATACTCTGATTTCACATACCTACAGGAATGGTCATCCCATGAATTTTATCAGCCCAGCCTGCGTAATATCGAAGGGTTTTGATGACGCCCTGCAAATCCACATAAAAAGCTTGCAGGAATGGTTTGCCACCATTTAGGGATTCCATGGTCTGTTGGAAAAGAAATGGAGAGATATTAAGTCCCCAGAACTTTCCAGTGATACACTAATTTCTAGAGCAGAAGAAAAAAAGGAAGAGACAGAATACAAATGAATATGGAGATGCATACCTGGTCAAATAAATCTTTTTATTTATTCTCAAATAAAAAAATTTCTAGTACTGTCAGTTTGGTTTAGTTCCTAGTACAAATCACAATGAGTATGTATGTGCATGTTCCTGTGCCTGTGTGCTTCCAGTAACCACTATCCAAATATATTAACACAATATTTATTTAATGATAAAGAAATGTTCTGCTTGTCAAAACAGCTTCCGTTATATTAATGATCAGAGCTCATTGGGGATTTTTTGGCGTCTATACCAGTAATATGAATCCATAAAGAGGAGCAGAAACATGGGCTCTTTATGCAACTGATGAGAATAGAAAGTGTTCTCCACAGCTGCCAAGACCCCTGCTGAGAAACGGAATATCCACAGCGCACAGCAAGTTTATTTATTACTACCAAATAAACAAGAACTCCTCTAGGGAAGCCCAGATGTTAACAACTTAAAGGCTGGTTTTTTGTAAACATTTACGTTAACAACCATTACCTATTAAGAGTGAAATATCTGCTCCATTTAATAAAAATAGCAATATTGAACTGCTTTACATTATAAACATTATTATTTTAACGACATGTTCCTGAACTGGCTAAGTCTGTAACAAAAACAATGAAAAATGAATACGCTGAAATGAGAAGAGTATTTTGACTTGAGAAATATTAAAGGTGTTACAAGTTCAACAAATGAAATAAACAAAAACATGTTTGTAATTTTCTTTTTTCCCTACAAGTATATTTCGTAGGACATACTGGTGTGAAAATTATTTCATCTCTGACAAAGCTAAAATTAAATTATTATCCAATCAATGAGACGAAAATACTATGACTTCCAGTACAATTTATGTACTTAGTATGTGTATAAAATGAAACTTATTTAAAAATGTTACTTATCACTGTATATTGGCTCACCCTTAAAAAATAGAATCAAACTATTTCCTAGTACTTTTTAGAACATGTATATGTTTACAAGATTGGTATTACATTCTCTGTACAGCTAGCACAGCACCAAAATCTACACAGCACAGAGTGAATAATGTCAATAACCAGAATATGGGTTGCCTAAATGGTCCCTGTGAGCGGCTGACAACAGTCAAATCCACTGAGAATTGCCAGCTCTAGGTCTATTTTCAACTGTGTTTACTTTGGATGCAGTATTAACTTCAGTTTTCCAGTCAGGAGCTCCCCTTTCTTCCACAGGCTACCTTTTACTAAAACTCACTTTTCTCATAGCTTGAGAGTGTTTAAAAGCAGGAATCTCATTTAGGTGTGGTAGGAAAAAAGACTTGATCAGTGGGACACAGAGAAGAAAAAGAAAGGCATTTGAGTTTTATTATATGAAAATGTAACTGCAGAAATTAATCATCTTCTAGTATGGTGTTAATCCAATACTATAGATACCATATATCTTTAGCTCAATTAAACAGTCATTTATTGACCACCTATGTGCCCTCATTTGCCATTTATGTGCTAAGAACCATCTAGGATTACCAAAAAAAAAGGTAAAATACAAGTACAATTCTCAAGAAAATGATAATCCAGTGAAGAGACAAGTATAAAAACAGCATTCTCTAATGTGTCCCAAAACACTTGGTTTTGCATGATATTGGTATATTAGCCAGAAAAATGGTGATGAGGCTCAAATAAGCTTGAGAAGCATTTAGTAGGCTTTTCCTGAGCCTTTAATATGCCCAGTGTCTTGCAAATCTGCAAAGAGTTTCTTCATCATGAAACACCTTTTTCACAGTATGTATAAACACCTCATTGGAACAGTATTCCCTAGAGTGCCAGATTAGAAAATGTTTTTATATACAAATAAATGGTATATATAGCTAGAATCCCAAACCATTTCCATAAAGGAATCATTTTGTTTCCATACTATCAACAGATTCCTGAGGGGGATGGTAGAAGGGAAGAACTACGGTAGGACGGACACTGACAAAGGGAAAAATTGCTTTCTTCCCTGAAAGCAAGCCCAATAATGACCTGTTTTCCCAAGTAGGGGAAGGATATAGTACTCATGGCTTGAATGCCCTGACTGAACAAGGAAACCCTAAATACTCATTGATCCTAGGTGGAGATCCCAAGTATATAGTGCATACATTCCTAAATGGTTCCAGTTTCCAAAAAGTTTATATTCTCTAAGAAATTGACTTTTATTTTAAAAACAGCAACAACAACAAAACCCATTAGGGCAGAAGAAGTTCCTTATGTGAGGAAAATCACTGTTTCAGTGAAAGTAAGTTGCTGTCTCCTGCTGTCTCTCCTTTCTATTGGCTCACAGAATGACAGGGCAAACGGAGCAGAAGTGTATGGGAGGTCCATACCATCCCCACTGCTTCTGAAGGATTCTCTTTAGTCAAGAGAGGTTAACTCTGGGGAGGTAAACACTTGTTCTATTTCATTCTCAAAAGAATCATTTGATATTGGTTTTCTCCAAGCAGCATGGTGACTCTCTTGTTGCTTGACTGTTTTTAATTTGTCATGGGAAGGGGGAGTTGTAGAAAGGAAGGTCCTTATCAGTCATAGAAAGCTCTAGTTTTCTCTTCAAAATTAGGATATTCAGCTGATCCTCCACTTCTCCATCTGATCCCCAAATCCAAACATGTCTAATTTTTCATATGTATTACGTATTCCTTTGCTTTTTCCCCAGGTCTGCTTCAAAGCATCCTTTTAGGAGTTCGAGACCAGCCTGACCAACATAGTGAAACCCCGTCTCTACTAAAAATACAAAAATTAGCCGGGCATGGTGGCACACGCCTATAATCCCAGCTACTCAGGAGGCTGAGGCAGGAGAATCGCTTGAACCTGGGAGGCAGAGGTTGCAGTGAGCTGAAATCGTGCCACTGCACTCCAGCCTGGGCAACAGAGCTAGACTCCATCTCTAAATAAATAAATAAATAAAATAAAATAAAATAAAATAAAATAAAATAAAATAAAATAAAATAAAAAATAAAACCGAGGAACGTAAATTTCAGCAGAATGGTAAATGTAGGGTAAAGACTTAACGTTTTCTTAGGTTACTTACTGCAAGAACTGCCCTGTCCCGTTCCACCAAGTCTGCAAGCTTATCCAACAGACGTCCTCTTTCTGAAGCATCCATCCTTCTCCACACTGAACCAAGAGAGAAAGCCAGGCGGGCTGCCTGCACTGCTTTGTCTATATCTGCCTGTTAGAGAGGAAGAGGCACAACTGAAGAAAAACACTCCAAATAAAGGAAGAACTATCTGCTGTCATGAAAAAAGTGAAGCATGAGCATGTAGTTGTGTATTGAGAGCATATGTTTACTGCTCTGCTGTTTGAAGGCAGTTATTTCATAGGGAATCTTTTTCTGAAAAAGACATACCTTGTCTGCTTCTTGAACTTCGCACACCTGTTCTCCTGTGGCTGGATTATAGACAGGGAACACTCTCCCACTCTCTGAGTTCTGCCACTCGTTGTTTATAAAGATCTAAGGGAGTAGATAACAGAATGGGATCTGTGACACAGGTGACAAGCAGCCAGTTAATGGCCAAGTGTTATGGAACTACTATGGTAATAACACTTGTTATATAATAAAAGTATAGAATTTGAAGTGTTGTAAGAGACCCTTCTAGACTCAACCCCAATTTAGGAATTTCCTCTATTTTTTTGCTTTAGTATCATCCGAAGGCTAACTACAGTTCTTACCTTTCGTGAACCTGTCAACTAACGAAAGATACAAATAAGGATAGAGTGTTTCACATACATACAATCATACACTGATGTTAAGGCAGCAGTTATTGATAGCCCAAGCTCTGGCCAGGATCCAGGAGGGTTTAACAGTAGATCAAACTTACAGTCATCAAGCCTTAGATTCTACTTTCTCTGCCAGAGGCCTAAGTGACTTCTCAAGGAAACTTGAATAGTGCTGCAATAAACATTCACCTAATTTATAGTCAGGTCCTGAAAAATGACTCTAACCAAACTAACTAGTGAGTTAAGTAAGTTATATGTGTAAATCCAAGTTAGATTTATTTCCCTTTGCTGAATAGGCTATATTGCAGAGCCACAAAAGATAGGGATGGGGAGTTGGCAGGGGGGGTATAACTTTCAAATGATCACCCCAGGAATTCTTAAAAGGCTTGATCTCCCTATATATGAAATTGAGATTATATTAAAATGGCAAAGAGACCAAAGACTTGAGAAATTATTCAAGTCAATTTCTCTTAAGATTTGTAATAAATGAATTAAATGTCAAGGGAAAAGATAAGGCAAGAAAAATTTTAAATTGTTATTGACAAACCTAATCTAGTATTTTTAGACCATGTAATCTTAGAGGACATACAAAGATGTTTTACTCTACAAAATTTACAGCACCACAGTGAAATTTCTGAACTTATGAACCAGTCAGTCATCCAATTTAGGACAAACACAATAATAAACTGATTATTTTTTAAATAGCAGGCAATAAATCAATCAGAGATGAGGCTTAATAAATATAAATCTACACTTGGTAAATATCAAATTCTAGAAAATCTCCCAAAGCTTTCTTTTTCAATTTTTCCTTGGTTTGATAAAAACAATGAGCCCATGTAGAAGGAGGCACTGATTAAACTAGAACTCTCTTTTCCCAAAGGATTTTTAAGATAAAGGAAAAGACCTTAAATTTGTAGAGCACTTAATACAGCTGTACTCATACAAACAAAATGACCTTGTAATTGTACATTTTACAGTTTATAATATACAGTTCATAAACATGTGTAACATAATTTACCCAATAAATACTCACATAACTTTTATTCACAGGAAAGACAAAGATGGCTAAGAGAGTTCTAGCCCTCCAGAGTCTGACAGTCTCTAGTAGTTTATTTAGTACTTACAATAACCCTGTGAAGCAGGGTTTTATTATCTCTATTAAACATGAGAAAATTGAGAGGCAGGAAGCTTGAGTCCAAAGAAGCAGGTTCTTCTTGTGGCTGACTCAAAGGCTACTACTGTTCTTTCCAATAAACGTAATTTCCAGGATTAACCCAAAGAAACACAACTAGTTAATGTTCAAGCCTGAGCTAGTTAGAATTCTGGAATTATTGGTCTGGTTCTCTTTTCAATCACTCTATTTAATAAACTTGCTCACAGCTGATAGCTCATTACATTTGCATGCTCCTTTGAACACAGTATAATGTCCAGGTAACAAAAGCAGAAAATTAAAAGTTAGTTTCATTAAGGATCCACTTCTGGAGTATTACTGGGTTTAGGGAAAAAGTGGTCTTACCAATGTCCCTATCCTTTTATTCACCATGTGACTGAATCAAACTTTTTAACCTTTGCAATATCGCCAGAGTCCACTGATCCTAGTTTTTTGTTTGTTTGAGTTTTTTGTTTTTGTTTTTTTTTTGGAAGATGGAGACTTGCTCTGTCACCCAGGCTAGAGTGCAGTGGCGTGCAATCTCGGCTCACTGCAACCGCCGCCGCCTGGGTTCAGGTGATTCTGCTGCCTCAGCTTCCCCAGTAGCAGGGATTACAGGCACCTGCCACTATGCCCAGCTAATTTTTGTATTTTTAGGAGAGATGGCATTTCACCTTGTTGGCTAGGCTGGTCATGAACTCCTGACCTCAAGTGATCCGCCTGCCTTGGCCTCCCCAAGTGCTGGGATTATAGGTGTGAGCCACCACAGCCAGCCCTAAGTTCAGTTTTTAAGTTTCTCTGTGCAGCAGTTTTAATTATCTGTAAAGACTGGTATTTCACAATTTTTGTTTCTCACAGGTTTTCCAAAAATCAAAAGGAAAAAATACTTAGTAAGTTAAACTCATTTTCTTAATCACTTAGTCTATCGATCATTTTATAAACCTAAGATGCATTACAGGATCTAAGATACATTATGAGATTTTAGTGATCTTATATTTCCTGTATTTTAAAACATTTTGCTATTTCATCATGCTAGGAATTACTTCATCATCATTCATCAATTATTTTTAACTATGCTAAACAACTAAAATAATAAGGAAACAAAAGAAATTACAAAATTGCCTAGAAATGAATGTCACCACTCTATCATCCTTCAGTTTTCTAATTGTGTTGTCTAATACATCATCTTTCAAAAAGTTATAAAAGAAGTCTAGAGATGCCATCTTTGCCATATTCTTTTCAGCTTCCATTGAACACAGTTAAGAATTCAGAATTCTTAATTTTCTGCCCATAATGGAATAAAGAATAAAATTAAGAGAAAGATATTTCACAATAATTAGATGAGTGAGAAAATGAAGGCAGAGAGAGAGCACTTGAGATTCTGGTGATGAGGTAAAACTGACCATAGAAGCAAAATCTTGGGTTATGAGTCTTTCAGATCAATTCTGTCAGACTTGAGAATCAGAGTAAACAATATATTTACAAAGACAAAAAGGAAACATGATATTCTAACCCACTAATTATTTAATAGGAAGGACTTCATCATTAATATTTTGCAACAAGAACCTGGACCATCCTGCTTTGGTAAAAGGACATATGACAATTATTTTATCTTTTATAATATTTGTTGGTAAAAATTTATATTCATAAATGGACAAATGCTGAAGGTAGGTATATATGTAAAGGTGACTGGAAAAACACATTATGTAGAAATTTTAAAAGTTCATTGGGTTGATCAATCTGATTGACATTTATAAAAGTAAAAACGAAAATATTTTTGTAATTGTGAAACAAAAACATGACCACCTTTTCTACAAAATCATGAACCCTCAAATTTTTCCATAGCATTACACTGTGATAATAACATATGCAAGAAGAACCCGTGGTAATGATGAGCTATAACCTTCTAGAGATCTGTTTAAAATCTGGAGCCAGTATTTACCAGATGATTATGTTCCAGGTTCATATATGACAGCTCATGAGCAGTTATTTGCATTCAAAGGTATTGCCAATTTCAAGTTATGTTACCTCCAAAATCAGGAAAACATGAAATAAAAATTTGGTTTGCTATGTTTAAATTCTTATTTTGCTGTTTTTTTAACTATCTCTTTATTCTTACTTCTGTAAATTATTCATAAAATAAAAATAAAATGAATACATTGAAACCAGATGGTAAATGTGATGGCTATTTTTCCTGGTGTGCCAAAATTAAAATTTTAATTTTACTACATCATTGCTGTTGCAGACCTAGTCTTATAAAATGACACTTAAAAAATCATACGGACAACTTTGTTGGTACATTGAATAACAAATATCTCCATGGTCAATACTTGAATGTTGGCAGCTCTCTGGGCAATTTCAAAAGTTTTGAATCCGATTCCTTAGCATTATTCCCTGACCAGGGCTCCTTGGAGAAATGATTTATTTCAGAACTGTAGCAGGAAAAGTACAAGATGAGCCTGAAACGTTATGGTGCCTGAAATCAAGTAAATACTTAAAAATCGATACGAACATAATAAAAAGATACAGAAGTCAACATGAAGAGGCTACCAATAGACAATACTGGAATAATTTAAACAAAAAATAAATAATGCTGGTAATAGACTATTACCCATAGAATGAAAAAGACATCCAAAAGTTCATAATGATATACATTTTTTAATGAATAAATAAGTAAATGTGGGATAAGGAGGAGCTCTTCTTCACAGTAGAATTCCAACTACTCGATGTAAAGAAATGATGGGGTTAGATGATTATTATTTGTAAAATACCATAGTAATAACTGCTTCAGGTAAAAATCATCACTAGATAGTAAAATTAGTGGGCAAATATACAATGAAAAATGTATGATGGATGTTCATGTAGTTTCAAAGTATCTCCCCTCAAGATACTTATTAATTACAAAGAAAAAAATAGTAACTTTATGTTGGAGAAACTTGGCAGACACCACCTTAATCAAATGATTAAAGCTGACATCACCAGCAATGGGACAAATTGATACCATGTGCAGCTGATATGATATGCTGAGAAAGACACAGGATCAGTTCTGTGGTAGTCTCACTCAAAAGGCATAATCTACATTCAATCACAAGGATACAACACAGGCAAATCCAAACTAAAGTATATCCTACAAAATCATTGTCCCATGTTTTATTAAAGTGCCAAGGTCATGAGAGACTAGTAAACCTAAAAAACTGTTTCAAAAAAGGTCACTAGCAAGACATAAAAATTAAATGCATCATGTAACCATGGATTCCCTGCTGAGCCAGGAAAAAAATACATATTATTGGGACAACTGGTGAAATCTGAATAAGATTTTTAGGTTAGATGATAATATTATATCAACGTTAATTTCCTGATTTTTATCATTTTTATAATTGTAAGATCATTTGGGGAATCTGCATGAAGTGTATACAGAAATTTTTTGCACTATTTTTGAACTTTATTTTTGTAAATCTGAAATTATTTCAAAATGGAAAGTTAAAAAAAAAAAAGTTTAAACGTCAGTGTCATCTTTTGGTGCCTACCTTTCATATTTTAAATGCCCCAAACGAATTTGTTAAATAAGGATTCATTATCTTCAC